GTTACAGGAAGAAAGTGGGTGCTAAGAAAGATGCAATACCAGACAAGCTACTTTCAAGATATCAAAGAAATGTATATGCCAAGATGCTGTCAGTTACACGGCCATCCTGTTTTATGCATCTTATAAAGCACCAACAATAAAATGACAGAGGTTCCATAAATATTTGCAAGGTTAGTTTGAGACCTTTTGCTACTTGGTAATTCTGTGATTTATATGGGGTTGACAGTGAGAGCAGAGGTAATTTTTAAGATCACTCTGACCTAAACTCTTATGATCCAAGAATGGAAGTGGAGATCACCGACAGTATTCCTTCAGGAACGTCTCCGGGGTACTCCTAACTGTTTCCTGAAATGCAAAATGATTCCTAAAGGGAACAAGTGGACTAGTTCAAGAATATCACTCTGGTTAAGAGCACACAAACTTGGGAATTCTGTAGGCTAGGGATTAGAATAGCCACCTCAGAGGTTTATTATGTAGATAAAACAAAACCTATACCAAAGTGGCCCAGCAGAAGTACACAGTGATTAAAAAAAAGACAAGGAGGAAATTTCAATGCTATTGTAAAGAGGAAGAAGCCAGTCTGAAGAGAACACACACGTATTGCATGGTTCCAAGTACACAGTATTCTAGAAAACCCAGAGCCTGGATAGGGCCTGAGGAGAAGGAAAGGATAAATAGATGGAGCACAAGGAATCTGTAGGGCAGTGAAGCTATTCTCGATGATGCTGTGATGGTGAATGCACAACTTGAAAGCCACAGAAGGCTACAACACAGAGAGAATGCTAATGAACTTCAGTACATAATAACATATTAATCCTGAGCTGCCGATTGTAACACATGTCCCACATTACTGTGGGATATTAATAATAGGGCTATTAGTTTCTCAGGGCTGCTGTAACAAAGAACCACAAAGTGGGTGGCTTAAGCAATAGCAATGTTTGAAGTCAAGTACCGAGAAAAGTCATGATTTCTTTGACACTGACACTATTCAGTACAGCTTTTCTTTCTTTTCTTTTTTTTTTTTTTTTTTTTGACAGGGTCTCACTCGGCAGTTTAGACTGTCCTTAACTCATTATGTAGCACAAGCTGGCCTCGACCTCACAGTGATCCTCCTGCCTCAGCCTCCCAAGTGCTGCAATTTCTGCCATGAGCTGCCATGCCAGCTTCAGTATATCTTTTCTTGAAAAGGGGTTAGAGTTCAACCCAAATGAAGGAGAAAGTGTAAGTGAAGGTAGGAGAAAGAGAGTGCGTGGGAACTCTGTACTTCCGGTACAGTTTTTTTTTTTTCTGCTCTGAGAAATAAAGTCTATCAATCAAAAATCTCAAGGGATTTGAAAAATGACCTGCCATGTAGTACACAAGTGTTACTTGCTCTTGTAGGCTTCATTAACTTCTTCGGTGTTACATTCTTAAAGCATTCTGAAGCCAATACTGGCAATACTCCCAAATCCCCAGGAGCCCCTCCCACCTTACCCCCACTCACTCTTTGGCTTATGATGGATTTGGAAATACATAGGATTTAATTCTCACCCAAGACCTTCTCCCCTCATAATTGAGTGCTGGATTTGAAAGAAACCTGCTCAGAATTTCTCCCGTCTTGACTTCATTTACACATGTGTGCATGTATGTGCAAACACAACACACACACACATACACATCCAGTATGACCTCCCAACTCCCACCAGCCTTGATCCAAACAAATGCAAAGGCAGACTAGTTCTCCTCATTAAGGAGTCAGAGGAAATATCTATCGAGAGAGCCCTGTGCCCATCTGAGGAAAATGACAAAAACTTTGTGAATATAAAACATAACAGTAGATTCCCTGGTTGAAAGGCACACAACAGAAATCAAATTAATTTTAAGGGAAAGAAACAGAAATTAGATTTAATGACTGTAAGTATACTTTAATTCCCTATGCAGGGAAGGAGATATGGAAGAAACTAAGTAGAATCAGAGAAAGAAAACAGTAACGAAAACAAATAGAAGGAAAACCAACAAGTATTCACTCTTGGGAGGAAGGCAAAAGGAAAGAGAGGGAAGGGAAGGGAAGGGAAGGGAAGGGAAGGGAAGGGAAGAGATGAGATGGCAATGCAGGGCTCTAGGTGCTGGCAAAGTGCACAAGGACATGCCTCTTGTCACATCCTGCCTCCCACCTCGGCCCAGGCTTTGCAGCGTCTTTACCAAAAGGAAGATCCATGTGTTAAGTGAATGAAATCAGTGACACTAACTTGTCCCTTAATTACGGTAGGAATGTCCTGTTTTAAGAAAACCCAGTAATGAGAAGCCATGTCGAAAAGACAGACGTATGAGGTGGTTTGTTCCCTTTACAAAAGGAGTCACAATAGTGTGATTACAATCCCCCCAAACACACCCAAATGTAGATTTGCATACAAATGTTCGAGAAAGTATCTGTCACCTACCTCCTGCTCCTCTTTCATGTTACTCTGCACTGTGACACCCGAGTGCTTCATGCATGGTTTGCAGAAGCCCTCTGCCTTGACATTGCATCTTTTCATTGGCTGAGAGTTTGTTTCCTAACGAATGTTGCTGAAAAGGATTCAGCACTCACTGGGGGTAGGAGAGGAAATGAGGGATTACTGGCTGGGGACATGGAAGCTGGTGCTCCCAAAAGGGGGTGGCTCACTTACAATTCTACCCAGATGGAGCTCCTCTTACACGGGAACCATGCCGGAGACCTTCAGGAAGGCTTGTGATGTAAAGGTACCAGGCTGAAGGAAGACCTCCAGCTCTATCCTGAAGGAAGCCACACCAAGAGCTATTTTCACAAACACACACACACCTCTCCCTTGCACAGCACACATGGGCCCCAACCTAATCCTACCACATTGTGCACTGGTGTATTTCTGCTCTCCTCTCTCGGCTACGTCAGCCAGCAAAGCTCTGTCCAGTGAGTTGCATGAGATGCCATGCTCTTGCGCATTTCCAGTCCCCAGAGAGTTCCCTGGTGCCCAAGTAACTAATAAAAGGTGACAAGTAGGAGGAGGAGATGGGTAGGAGGAAAAGAATTTGAGTGGGGAGAAAGCCTGCGAGGACAGCCAGCCAAAGTGACCTCACAGTGCTCGGCATGGTTCTTCCTTTGAGTGCTCCAGCATGTCGCCCTCCCTCCGCCCCTGCAAACCACGAGCATCTTGAGCTATTCCTCCCTGCCTCCCTAGCACCTCCCGCACAGGCACAGGTGCGGCACTGTGTCTGAACAAGCGGCCAGAGTGACCTCTTCCTGTGACCAGCCAAGAGCAAGCAATCAGAGGCTCCAAAGATGCCCTCCAAGCTGCTCGGATAAATCAAGAAAAGGCAAATCGTTCACTCACAGACAGACCTCATTTTTGAACATTTGCATCCTGTTACCGTGGTTATTCAAGAGGTAACAACACAGCAAAAGACTACACTTACGGAAAGAAAAGCAGCCCCAGCCCCCCACCACACAAAACATTTGAACCCAAGTTTCTGTCACGCTTCCCACCGGTCTGACTCACAGCTGATCTGTGGTAGGGACAGGAGCTCATCCCAGGGAGACTCCCGTACAACTTCCTAAGAGATCCTCCCATTGCTTGTTTTCATTCTAATAATTACAGAGTGATCAGGCTAGAAATTATAGAGATATTTATTTATGGTTGATCAAATGTAAAAAAAAAAAAATTGTTTTCTTCATCACAGGCAAAGTCTTAGGAAGTACTACTCTTGGTCTAAGTGAGATAGAACAACAGATTAAAGCTTTAAAAGCCCAAACAAATACCAAAATTTCTAGAGATTTATGAGTAATTTAAATAATATCCTAGAGGTTAAGAAAAGGGGAAATTTTTCAAACATTGTATGGTTTTGTTTTTCTTGGCTGTGGTTTTATTTTTGTTTTTGTGAGCTTTCTTAAGAGGAGGGGAAAATCCTTAAAAAGCAAAGAATTTGTCAATTTATTTAGGAAGGTTCCTGACCTTGGCTTCAAAATTGATGTTTTTGCCTTTATTCCTCCAAAGATGACCCCAGGTGATGGCTTGAGGCTTCTGCGGGGCTGATCTCTCACCCAGGGCACAGGGCTCATCCAGTGTACGCAGAAAGAGCTGGAAAATATTTTTGTGATCTGAGGCCACAGACCGAGGATTCCAGAGGAAGTGGAGGCCTCCCGCTCCACACAGGAAACAATCTTCAAGCAGGCCTTAAATGCCAGATTCCAGGCCGAGTTTAACTAACCACTGACAGCTCTGTAAACAAAGCGAGGACAGAAAGAGCCCGCTTCCCCTTTCCTGGTAGTCATTTTGGGTTTAGGGGCTGCAGGGAAATTCTGGAATCTTTGACTCCATGGCACAGAAACTCGGAGGAAGCAGGCTCCTGCTTTGAAGAGCTGGAAAGGAAGGTCTTTCCAGAATTAAAACCATCACCGAGGAGGTAGGAAAGGGTAAAATGGTTGGATTACATCTGTAGAGAGAGCTGAGATTTTTGAGCATGATCACTACTTAAAGCGCTCTTAAAAATGCTGTTTCATGATGTTTACTCATGGAATTATTGCTGCGGCCTTTATGAGTCCAGATGCTGATACTCTATTAGGGTATACAAATGATGCCTGGATGCTGAATTGTTTCTCTTTTACTTTTTTCTCTTCTGGGTTTATTTTTCTCTTTCTTTGTGCACTTTTTCATAACTTTTGTCTGGGGTTCAGCAAGTTACAATGAACAAAATTATTCAGTCACTCTCAAGTCATTCCACCAATATTGCAAGTCTTTAAAACCTCTCTGTCTCCTGGGGTCTTTTATAAATTTTTTAAAACTGTAATCCTGGGATCTTATGCATTTGTCTCTAATAATTTCAGGAATGATGCTGAGTTGAACTTGGTCGAGGAGTCAGAAGCTGATCGCAGACTACCTTATCAGACTGCTAAGGCATTTTCCTAAGACTAGAGAAAAAAGGAGGTGTGCAAAGGAAGGAGTCAATGCATGCCTGACTCAGAGAGGGTGATACTGACTCCACCTCTTCCTCCCCTTTTCATCTAGACATTACCTGGTCTCCTTAAAGCTGAAACATCACCATGGATGATTTTGAACGCCGCAGAGAACTCAGGAGGCAAAAGAGGGAGGAGATGCGGCTGGAAGCAGAAAGGTAGGATGTACAAATCGACAGAACCTTGTGTTTCATTGTTAACAATGTTGGTCCCAGACCTCAAAGACTGTTCCCACCGATGGTCCAAGCTGGGCCACAGTGCATATCAAACTGCATAGAAAAGAAGTAATGGAATGTTCCCTTAACATTGACTTTAAATTTTGCATTTAAAAACAGAGGAAAACAAACAAGTACGAAGAACAGAGAGCCTGGAAAAGAGTCACACAGTTGCATTTAATCCATACTTCTCATGGCTGAATTTTTAATGACATAGGCAATATGTACATAAAGGTTTAAAAGTTAACAATATTCAAATTACAGAAAATGTCAAATATTGAACACTGGAACTACGTAAGAGATGAATCTTTAATCTAAAAAAGGAAAGGCAAAAAGACCCAGAGGAATCCTGTGACAAATGTTTATTCTATAGAAAAGCACCCCAAGTCCGGGAATCGACGTAGGAGAGGTTAATGCCCAGTGGGCCATGCTGCTGTGAAGGTGAGATATAGCTGGAAGCTGTCACACTGGGAGACTCCTGGAGCAGTGACTTTGGGAACAGGTTGTAGAAATAAAGTATCAGCGTATAAAATATAGGGCACAAATGTGTATTTTAAGCCCCGAATGGATAACAGTGGCATTTAATGTTGCTTAAATTGGATGTTCTTTTGAGAAAGCAGATCAGACATTCACAGGAGAAAATTATTAAAAAATGTCCTTAAAATCAATTCAGTGTACATCCTAGTTATTCCAAGATACAGATCAAAAGATGGCAGTAAGATGATCCTTCCATGATCCTGCAGTAATAAACTGAAAACTTGCAGCAACAACAAAAGTATCAGGGGCCTATGTTCTACTTATTTGTATAAAGAATGCAGAGGAAGATAACATTCCTGCCTTAGAGTAGGTTGGTCAGAGTCTATGCACATACACAGAGCACCACAAATACTATGTGTGCTCTGTAGAATCACATCCTAGCCCCATGCCACTTACGAGCTCTGTGGTCATGAGCAGGTGACCTCTCTCTAAGCCACAGCTGCCTCATCTGTGTAGCATAAGAGCTACCTAGCTCATGTGCTCACCATAAAGATTATTGAAACTCCTAAGTGCCCTTCCCAGTACCTGACGGCCACTATAGTTATTATTATTATTTACCACTATCACTAGCTAAACAGGTTTTAAAAACCAGCTAGTAATACAGCAGGAACTAAATATTAACACCAAGAGAAGGAGAGGAAGTCATCATCCTTCAATGAAACTAGTCAGAAAGGGATTTCTGGAAGGATAAGCCACAGAAAGTAATGGGGATGAAGAAGACTGAAGGGAGGCAGTCTAAGGGAGGGATTGACCCCAGCAAAACTCAGGAGTGGAAATACAAATCCTGGAGCAAGACATCTGTTTAGTGCTTGAGGTAGAAGGTGTTGGTCTTACGCGTCTTGGGTGTTTTGCTATAATTGGGATAGAGAGAGGCGTAACAAGTCAGCTATGTGTGATGAAGCGTTTTGGAGAAAATCATCTGCCGTGGACTACAGCAAGGAGATACTGGCACGGGGAGAGTTAGTACTGAATACACAGCCTGCGTCAGGGCACTGACTACAGAAATGGAGAGATCACATGTGCAAGTCTGTATAGAGCGGGGCAAGCCTTTTAGGAAAGGGAAAAACTCAAAGACAGTTCCAAAGATGGTGAGTCTAAGGAGCTGGAAAGAAGGTCTCCACTTTGTCCCAATGGAAAAAGATGGAGGGCCAGGGATATAGCTCAGTGGCATAAGTGCCTGCCTGGCAAACACAAGATACTGAGTTCGATTCCCGGTACCAAAAAAAAAAAAAAAAAA